ATCATTTTTTAACACTTGGATTTGTAGTGTGTTTCTTATTAAATTTCGACACAGTTTTTTTCTCACTCGACCAGTGACTATTTATTCATTGCACTATGGCAGAGTCGACTAGTTAAGATTCGAGGAAATGAGACTCGGCCTTCAAGGTTATCTGTTACGAGAGTGCACGTTTCCCACTGGTCACATACTTAGATGGAAACCTGAACGAGAGAAAGAAATGGTGGGCAGAGCCGCAACCAGACAAGCGTCAAAGAGCGACTGTCTCGCCTAGCCGGACGTTTATCCGGGCCGTTGGCCTCGTGTGCTTCAGCACGTGGAAATTAATATTGAAATTGCGAAGTAAACGTTTTCCGCAATTTTGCTTTCCATCAAAGCTTGTCCTTTTTCGCGTGAAATCTGTTAAATAAGCAAATCCCTTTCATCATCTTTACGAGTTGCGACTATCTCTGATTTGCACATCTATAATAGTACGAATTTTTTTTTCATTTTTAATAATCCACGATTCTCGTCGAGCATAAATAAAGTGATTCTATGTATTCCAATTGAATTTTTATGTCAGCCAAATTCGGGACTATGTTATTTTAAAATTTAATATATACTAATCTCAGTAATCAATAACTCAGTATTATTGCAACTTGCAATAATGTCGAGTCATTTCGATAGAAATGAGCACTTTACAGATAAAAGTATATAGTATTTGCATTTTAAAAAATTAGCTTTTGAATGATCTCTCAAGTATGATAAAAATAATATTTTTATCTAGCAAACAAGATAAATAGTTATTTATTTCTTAATTGATCATTTAATGCATTTATTTTAAGTAAGATAAATAAAAAATAATAAAATATGTACGCGCGAATTTACAAAACTGCCACGCCCTTTATCAGCAAATAATGTCACTGTGTGGGCGTCACGCAATTGCGTATCGATCCTCAACGGTAGGACCTCGACCTTGGTCCTTGAAATGTCCCGGTCTATCGACCCTTTCTGAAACATCCTGTACAACTACCGCGAAGGGCACGGCTGCGATATTTATCGTGTTCGTCTGACCGTTAGGAACGGAAATGTAGATATATTTATAGAGAGTCTTTCGCCTGCACCGTTCCGCTTGATTTTTATCAGCCATTCCTAAATTTGAAATCGGCATGACTAACTTCCGTATGCTGATCGATATAACGCGCCATAGAAAGATAAAATCTTTCTTTTATAATTTACAGAGAATAAAAAATGAAGTAATATTAATTTGTAATGTAACTTAACTGTAATAATTCAGTATATAAAGTAAAACTATATTAACGATTTTAATTAGAGCTTAGAGCAGCTTTTTAGATTATAATATTCAGATTATACTTATCTATTTTATATTCTAATTACTATTAATATTGTATTATATTTACCTTTGTCTTATCTTATTATTAAATGC